CAGATAGTTAAATGTTTAAAATTTTACATCTTAGGTACTAAAATAAAAATTTTGAAAGTACATTACCTAAAATAGGAATCAAGTTAAATCATGTTACTTTTTCATGCAATTTGCCCTTATTATAATATCAAAATTTATAGCAGTTTTTGACGTTTTTTAATTCCGATAATTTTGGACAATTTATACCAAAAATCTGAACATGTACGAAGTAGAATGATTTTATAACAGTTTTTTATGTTTTTTATAAAGATTTTTATATTCCGAACAAAATTAGATAAAAAGTAAAAATAAGTTACCATTTATGACAAGTTTGCATTCAAAGAAATACTCAAAACTTACTGAATTGACTATAGGTCCAATACCTATTATTTTAATTCCACAATGTACCCTCAAGATTAGAGTATCTACACCTATGAGGTCCAATGACCACTTTCCAATTGCAGGGTCAAAATGGTCCATACCTATGTGGCATGGACTAAGTAGAAGAAGGTTTTGGATGACTAGAATTAATTTTTATTTTCGTATTTTTTATTAATGTAGCCTTTATTTTCATAATTATTAATTATTATCTTTTTAGCTACAGTAAAAAATTATTATTGTAAATTTTTTATCATATAAATCATCATCGTTATTATTATTTACAATATTTATGGGTTATCGGCTAAAAAGTATGAAATATGAAGAATTAAACAATTGTTATATTAGTTGATTGCTTTATCTATACTATATTATAAAACATTTGATAAAAATTCTTAAAAACCATTTTTTATGCATGAAGTACTGTATATTGATGCATATTATTTAAAATTCATGATTACAAGTAAATTGTGTACATAAGTACAACATATTAAACCTCTATTTTTTTTAATTCATGTAACTAATTGCAGATAAATATAATTATATACAGGATAAACATCACATTTTAAATATAAAAAATTTAAGATATAATTAGAATAATCGTTGAATTCTAATAGAATACTTAAATTATTATCATATAAAATATTATATTATTAAACCAAAAATAATATAATTCATTATTAGACCTAGATTAAATTATAATACAAAAATTGAATCAAAGAAAATACACAAAAAAACGAGAATTTTTAAGTAGTTAATTTAATACTAATATCGTTTTTTTTTTCTTCTAAATTTTAATACAATATCTTCAAATTTATGTTTTATTAAAAAATAAAAATATTATTATTTTCTCAAAACCATATAAAACTGTATTGTAATAATAGACAAAGAATAAAAAAAAAAAATCGGGATATATCTCGTTGCATTATCTGAATACCCTTCAATTATTAGTTAAAAAAAAATACATTAGGACCATTATTTAAAGTAAGAAAGACTGAAAATTTTGAATGTTGGGAAATAAATTAACATTTGCCCCCCATAAAACAAAATATTGACATCTAACCCCCTCCAGAAACTATATTTGTCCCATTAGAGACAGGAGACTGACTCATGTCATGAGCCAGAATTGGCAAGAAAGAATAATTTCCCCGTTTTAACCCTATATGTGGTTTATATAATTTTTTAAAACTTATAAAATAATTAATTAAATTGTTTTATAAAAAGCTATTTTTGTAACAAGAAACAGAAAAAACGATAACACATCGCCTCTGAAGATAAGAGTCTAAATTAAGTATGAATACATGAGTGACGGAAGTTTGTTTTGTAGTAGTCATATTTAGTTTAAAGGCACTGTTATTTGATGATGAATGAACGGTTTTTGATGACATTAAAAAACGTGAAAATAACAATAGGAATATTGTGGCAGATTCTAAAGAAAAAGATAATGTATACGATTCGAAATGATTCGAAAATAATTCATTTTCGTTTTTAGTTAAAATTTGCTTTAAATATATATTGCCGTTAAAGTTATGGGTTTTCGTCTTTTTGATGAATAAGTTTCTATTCTTTTTAACTTGTAGAAGTGTACTAGATAACAATTAATCATCTCATTTCGTTCAGAATAAACATATGATTTAATGACAACTGATTGTTGTATTTGATCAGATAAAAATGACACCAGAAGATCATAACGTTGATGATCCTGGACAACTTTCCATTGTTTTTAGGATGAAACTGCAAATACAATGTTTGGATTATTTGCTCTGATATGCTTTGATTTGTATTCCACGTGAACTTGTACGTAGTCTAAGTATCATATTGTATTTTAACTATTTTGGTTGTTAAATTCAAAAAGAAACAATTTTGTGGACAAACTTATGAGGATATAACGTTACTTGAATGTCGTTTGTTTATAACTTAACGGGCTTAACTATATGAATGACTTATTTCGCTCAGCCATACATAATCATTAATTTGTTTACGAACTAACATATAATTTACAAGGCGCGTTACCTGTTGTTCCAATCATGCTCATACGCCTTTAACTATTCTAGAAGAAAAGAATGAGTTGTCATCTTTGTGTTGCTGCTCTACTTTGTTGAGCGGCTGGTTCATCACTCGTTACCGTCACCACTACTACATTCGTCTTCTTAGACATTGTCATTTCTCCTGGTAACTGCGTAGTTGTCCCTCAATGTGAATGTTATAAAACAAATGGTGGAATTAAATATAGCCTTTAACTTTGTTATGCTAAATCTTCTCCCATGTGTCCTACACTTTTCGAGCTCTGAATCTATTTTTCTTCCATACCTAGCTCTTTAATCCCAAATCTGATGTAATTGATTGTACTGAAACTTTCTTTCCATACCCATAATGCACAATAAAAGAATATAGAGGATTTAGCTTACTTGTGGGTCGGTTACCTGACAAACAACTGTTAATCTTTTGCTGACAAAAAAATATGAAATTAGCAGGGACTAGACACTCCAGGGAATATATTTGTGGACTAAATATGACTCCAATAAAAAAACTGTCATAATACTGTAATTAAATTTTTACATAATATTTTATTTGATGTTTTGTCCATTAAACATCTTAGGGGTTGTTTGGTTGCTGAATAATTTGGTGTAAAATAATTAAGTTGTCAGAATGATTAAGAGATTCTCATGATATAGTGCAAAATGAAATATAATTGTTTGGTAATTATTTACAACGAAATTAGGATGCTGAATGGTTAAGAGAGACCCGGGATACAAAATTATTAAGAGGGTTTTAGAACTATTAAGAGACAAACTTTTTTTGTCAAACAAGATTTATCTCTTAACGATTCAGAAACTACCTCTTAATAAAATTATTAAAAGGTAAACAAACAACCCCTAATATTGACAATAACATGCTTTTTAACAGTTTTCAAACAATTAGTTTGAAAATTTGTCCAACAAAAAATTTAAAGAATGTCATATTTACTTTGGTACCCACAATTACATAAACCCATGAAGCACATGTGCACAATCACAACATTGTTGAGTTTTAATGCAAGGAAAACAAAAAATATGCATTAATATGTCATGTCCTACTTCTTTTAATGATTTTCAAGTCAATATATTAAAGTATACGATGGAAAGTATATATATATATATATATATATATATATATATATATATATATTAAATAATAATTAAATATAATTAAATTGATTTAATGTTTATGACGGCACAATTTCCAATGATTCCACACCCCTACCAAGAGGGTGCCATTAGCACTCCCCAATTATTTATTACCGAATAATAAGGCAGATAAAAAGAAGAAAAAGAACTAAATGAAATACAATACAAAGATCAAAGCACATATGATAAAACTTTAAATGGATTAGTAACAAATACTTCAATTATAAATTATAGTATTTAATTGTTATAGTTAATTTTTCATGTTATTAATGATGTTAGATGAAATACTTTTATTTAAATAATTCAATTTTTATGGAATAATAGTTTCTTGTTTTACATTTTGTATTAAAATTGTTAAAATGACAATTTCCTAAAATCTGAATCGCTTATTCAGCATATACAACAAAAAACAATCGATTTTCGATCCCAAAAAGAAAGCAGAAGGTCCTTTTCATTATAGCATGCTGTGACCGTTCTGTACCATGAATTCTTCCTACAAAATTTTGTTGAGAAGAAACTTTACTTGATTTAAATATATATATATATATAGAGAGAGAGAGAGAGAGAGAGAGAGAGAGAGTTTGTTTCAAATGCAATCCATCGCATTTGTACAACCAATGCAACCCAATAAATTGATATATTTATGAAAATGATAAGAGTTCATTTATTATGATTTGCAGGGACGTTCCAATCTTTTTGGAGGCCCTGCTATATTCAAAACTTTTGATTACATTGTATAAATGAGATAACAGAGAATATATGTTAAGACAAAAATGGGTTAAACCTAAAACGATTAACAATCTAAAACTAAACCTAATAATCATTTGAACCTAAAACCAAACAATTAATGATTTGAACCTAAATAATTTCGGCTATAATTTTATACAGGTCGATAAAAAGACCCCAAACACATGTAAATTTGGGCCCCAAAATTTCGGAAGCCCTATTCAAAATCTCACATTTAACATGCTAAGGGACGACCATGATGATTTGAATATTTATGGAAGATGAATATGGTTAATTAATTATGATTAATATTTTATATTAGAAAAAAATCAAAACTTTTATGAAATTACATATTCATTAAATTAAACAGACGGTTGAAATTAAATTGTATTGATTATACAAATGTAAATAGTTGTATAATAACTCAACTCTGTATATAATGATAGATTAAATATTTAAAATTAATTGAAATTCGATCAATAATTGCATAAAATTAAACAGTCCACTTTTGCACCACTAAAAACACAACACATAAAAAATTAAAGAGAGGGACATGTACTTACAATAAATAAAAAATTAAAGAATTAGAATTAGAATTAGAATTAGAATTAGACTTAAAATTAGAATTAATTCTTTGTCTTTTGTTTTTTTTGTAATTGTATCTTTTTTCACTTCCCAACGCCTATACCTTTATATACCTTCTTCTTCCCTCTTTACACACAGTGGAGGTATGGGCTACAAATCCCCATGGCCAACGCCATTGATGATCTTTATTGTATTCTCAAGCTCCACCATAACCACTTCATTCTTATCTAATCCTCCTCCGCCGCCTTCGCCTTCGCCTTCTCCGAGATCATCGCCACCCAACTCTGCGCTCAAGCCAAGCATGACTATTATCGTCGGAGTTCTCACCACCATATTCTCCATCACTTTTCTTTTACTCCTTTACGCCAAACACTGTCGGCGTTCGCATAATGGCTACCCGCCGGGAGGAGATGTGATGGCGATTCGTGCTACCGACAGGGAAAACTCCGGCATCGACCGGACTATCATCGAGTCGCTTCCGGTTTTCCGATTTGGATCTTTAAGTGGACAGAAAGACGGTTTAGAGTGTGCGGTTTGTTTGTCCCGGTTCGACCGGAGTGAGGTGCTCCGATTACTGCCCAAATGCAAGCATGCTTTTCATATAGAGTGTGTGGATACGTGGCTCGATGCCCATTCCACTTGCCCGCTTTGCCGGTTTCGGGTCGACCCGGAAGACATTTTCCTCGTGCTCGGTGAAAACGAAATCTCGCGAGATATTGGCAGGTCACCGGAGGTTAAACCAGAAGAGGACAGTGAAGTAGCTCTCAGGCGTGTTTCCGGTAGGCACTCGTCGGCGGAAGAAAGAGGAACCGGGTTACGAATCTCGGTGGAGTCATCATCGGCGGCAGCAGCAGTGGGGGGAAACAGGAGATCTTTAGACAGTTGGAACAGTAAGAAAAAGACGGCGAAGAAGATGAAGAAGAAGGAAGAAACGGCGCCTTTAAAGGCGGTTTGCATAGACGAACACCGGAAAGACGGACTGTTGTTGGCGGCGGAGGAGGAAAGACGGAGGAGCTTCGAGAAACGGTTCGAGCACCGGATCGTTGTTGGGGCCCAGAGATGGAGCGACGTACAGCCGTCGGATCTGTTGTATTTACGGTCAGAAATGATCCTAAGCGACGTCCGTAGATTGAAAAGATCTAGACCGTCGGTTTTGCATGAGGGGAATAATGGTTGGTGGCAGAGTGGCAGAGATGTAATAAATTCGAGAAGCGTGTCGGAAATGACAGGGTTGAGTAGGTTTGGTAGTAATGAGGTGCTGTCGAGGTGGTTGGCTTGGAAGTCCGAACCTAAATCCAAACCACCTGTTTTACATTCCGAACCTAATTCTTGTTCTTCCAATGTATAGACTTCATTCACTGTTTTCCTTGCTCACCTTACACTTATTATTAGTACACCTCCCATTTATTATGATTCAGATCATGTGTATAATTGATTTTAACTGTAAGTGTTCATGACAGATTATATAGATCTCGACCAATTAAATAGGACCTCCTGTAATTATCAGCTAGCCAATACCTACCGGTTTAGAACCTAAAAAAACATCAAATAAGTCTGATTGGTTTGAGTTTGACTACAAAGGTCAAAAGTACAAGAATGTCACAAGTTCAAATCCAAGGAAAAATAAAAATTCTCTTGTGGCTATGGAGGTTCAAATGCGATGATTATGAGTTATTTGCAAAGCAGGTGGTTTGTCTTGAGATTAGTCAGCTCGCATAACGGGTTAAATATCCAGATTAATTAAAAAAAACATTAAACAAATCATCTAAAATAGAGAAAATAAAGGGTTTGTACTTTATTTTGTTACTGCATTGTTATCTAGAAAATGGTAAAACATGAAAAAGAACGAAGTTTGGAAAATTCTTTAAAATATAATATGAGGAGAGAATATATATATATATATATATATATCACCAATAATATTAAACTATTATTATTTTATATAAAGATTTTTGTTGAAAAATTATTGAGACAAGAAAATTATGGAATATTTTAAAAATATAAATGATACTGAAAATTTTAAAGCAGACGATTTGTTGGAGGTGAGTGCGTGTGCACGTGTGTATATATATATAGAGAGAGAGAAAGAGAGAGAGAAGTTGGTTATTATACAACCCTTGACATTTGTGCAACCAATACAATTCAATCTCAACCGTTTATTTCATTTGATTAATATGTGATTTCATAGAAGTTTTTATTGTTTCTTAATATAAAGTATTAATCATAATTAATGAATCATATTCATCTTCCATAAATATTCAAATAATAATAAATGAACTCTCATCATTTCTATAAATATCTCAATTTATTGAGTTGCTATGGTTGTACAAATGCAATGAGTTGTATTTGAAACAAACTATATATATATATATATATATATCTATACTATATTATAAAGCATTTGGCTAAAACTCTTAAAAACTCTTAAACTCTTAAAACTTTTAAAGACAACATCTATTGCTAATGGTACAACCTGTTAAAGCCATCCCTAAACCCGTTCATCCCTAAACGATTTCATCCCTATCCGATTTCATCCATATCCTATTTCATCAAATACAGGATAAACATCTCATTTTAAATATAAAAAATCTAAAATATAATTAGGATAATTATTGAATTCTAACAGAATACTTAATTATTATCTTTATAAAATTTATAATATTAAACCAAAAATAAATTATTTCATTATTAAACTTAAATTAAATTATAATAAAAAAAATAAATTAAAGAAATTACATAAAAAATAAAAACTTTTAAATAGTTGATTTGATATTAAAATTGATATATTTTTTTTTCAAATTTTTATGATATCTTCAAATTTATATTTTATTCAAAAATAAAATCATTATTGTTTTCTTTAAAACGCATAAAATCGTATTATAACATCGATAGAGACAAAGAATAAAATAGAACATTAAAATCAAGATGTGTCTCGCTGCATTGCGCAAGTACTCTTCTAGTATATATATATATATATATATATATATATATATATATTAAGATTTTTACTTTCGATATTATATTTTAAAGTCTTAGATAACCTCTTGGTAGCTATGTTATTATAGACTTTATTCTATACAAAAAGGGTCAATAAGAAGCCAATCATGTTACGCTTGCTACCAATCAACAATTAATTTTATGTTTAGAATTTATTTTGAAACATCTCTAAAGCTGCGTTTGGTATATGAGACAGGACAGAACGAGACAAAACTTATTGTCCCATGTTTGGCGCGACATGGGACAAGACAAGAACTCATTGTTTCACGTTTGGTGCGACACGAGACAGGGACAAGAACTGCAATAAAGTGGGACAACGTGAGACAAAAAAGGTTTTTTCTTGTTCCACCAAAATAGGTGGAACAAAATGGGATAAAAATGAGATAGAAACTAAAAATATTACTAACCAACTCTCGTTTGATATATAACCTTAACATAGTATTTGTTTTAGTGGTCACCAACGCTAGTTGTGGCAGCCATCACCACTGGTAGCCACCGTCGGTGACCTCCCCCTCCTCCACCACCTCCACAACCACCATCGACTACCACTGTCTATCACCACCTCCACAACTACCATTGGCCACCTACCACCATCGTCCATTGCCACTATCAGCGTTGGCCACCTCCCACCTTCTCTTCTACTACAACAACCTCCTCCAGAACCATCGTCGTCCACTGACCACCACCGTCCATTGCCACCACTACTACCACCGTTGGCCACCTCCACCTTCTCTTCCACTACAACCTCCTTCTCCACCTCCACAACCATCATCATCATCCACTAACCATCACTACCACCGCTGGCCACC